GCTGATGTGAGCATACCCGGAGACCTCTGAATTTGGCCTGGCTTGAGCCCTGCGCGATCTACACGATGTCTGGAACCCCTGTACCACACCGGTCAAATTGTGTCAATGGTCCCTGCAGGCATATAATTCCCACAGCCCCTGAGCCTAATTTACGAAGCTTCAACGCGTTGAACTGGATCTTCTGATTGCAGGCCGTGCGCACTGGCGGGGCCACGCGGAAGATGGAAGATGGGACAGCTGGGATTCCTAACATGTGTCCAAAGAATAAGAGATGGCGCACAATCGATCATGGATACCTTGAAGCTGAATCCCATAAAACCTGAAACCTTAAAGCGCCAGTCGCGCAAGCTCGCAGCAACCCGACACCTTGAATAATCCCAGCCTCCATCTTTACTGATACTGTCGGGCTCAATCAGTTCAATGCAGACCTGCAGAGAGGCGCGCCATTTCCTCCAAAACTCCAGTTCTGGCTTCAGAGTAACATTAGCGCCCTTCGGGTTCCATCGAAGAGGCACTTACATCAAAGGTGGCAAAACAACCCCAAAACTCTCGACGTCAAGCCGCACGGCCCGAAGACCCTTGGCTCTCCTTGGCTAAAAATCCCAGGCCTCTGTGGGATTTTCGCCTCAGAGCCTCGCCTCAGAGCCCTGCCGAGTAGTGTCAGAAGAAGCTCAAGAGCCCTGAAACCTGAAAGGACCTGCAGCCCTGTGAAGCTGCAGCCCTAACCATCCCAAGCTCTTCCTAAAAACACACATTCCACTTCTAAACTTCAAAACTGAGCATATAAGAGGTTTTCTTGTTTGTAAAGAGATCTCGAATGTCCAACCTGTAGTATGGACTTACCTTACTCGTCGGGACTTCTGGTTCGTTGGAGCATGGTAGTAGTATGGTATCTAGTGGACATGCTGCGATGAACAGGTAAGTGGCTCATTAACTGCGAAGCTGCGTCGCCTGGCGAGGGCAGAGGGCTAGCGCCGAAATCCTAAAGCCACGAGCGCCCTGAGACTCTGAGACCCAAACTCTGAAGCCACAAATCCCTTCAAAGCCCTCTCAGGTTGTGCAAAGCGACGGCTCTAAGGTTCGGCGCTGAAATTTGTGGGGTTGCAGCAGCCCGATGAAGAACCTAGCTTAGTTCGTTGGTGAATATGATATAATTAAGCAACTAGGCCCCATAGAAGGATTCGTGGTTTCTGGTAGATTTATCGAGCGTATCTGAGTTCATGCCTTTTGGAGCCTGAAAGTGCAAGTAGTTGCATCAACTGTCGCCATAGGTGTCTCTGCAGGTGCGTCTGTCTTTGCTGACGCGCTTTCAGACAGCAGGGCTCCTGCTCTGGAAAACATCAACGGGTCTATGCCAGTAGGAAGATATCGGAGGATGGCATCTCGCGGACTTTGCAGCAGTACTCGATATGTTTTCTTTCGTTGATGTTTATTCCGGCTATTGTGTAGGTTTAAGTAATCTTGTCTCTGCCCACTGAGACGTTGGACTCGGCGGCATTCATGCAAAGCACAAGCCCCTCCCAAAAAATCAAACCCCGAGGGAAAAAACTCCTGAACCCTTTAGTCCGAGTTGTGAGAACCCAAAACCCCACAACTGCTTTTCAAAGCATTTCGCACGATGAATGCAGGGTAACTGGCCACGGCTTTCTCTCTGAACCACCCTGCAAGACTGCTTGGGAGTTACTGGTAACTATCCTATACTTCTATTCCCGAAGCTTCGAAGTTCGCCGCGGCTTCAGCCCGCAAAGAGGTCCTTGCCGATGGGACGAAGGTGGAAGCCGACGCTGCCGAAGTTGCAGCACGTGAGGAACGGGCTGCTTCGTTGCTCCAACCACGTTCACGTTCAAGAGTTGGCTTCTTGAGTGCGGATCAGGGCTTCTGTTGCACGAGTGCGCCCCAAACCCGGGATGTGCGAGTGTGTCGAAGCCCGCAATAGTGAATAGTGGGTCCTTCGCCGAGCATTATGGGAGCTCATCGTTTGGCGGTCCGGCCAGATCAGGTCCTTACACAGACTTGCCAGGAAGCCTCCGGGCTTCACAAGTTTGAGATTCTAGGTTGCTTTGAGGCGCAGGTGGGCCTTGCCATCTTCAGGTTTGGCCTCCGAAGGTGATGCAGGGCCTTCTTGCTTTGTGCAATCTCGCTTGAGATCGGGTTGAAAGTCACCTTAGGGCACCAAACTTCCTTATGCCACCAGCCCTCAAACATATCCCAAGAACTGCTCAAAGCTCCAAAGCGGAATCTGGGTTGTAATTACAATCCAACATCTACCACTCCCTCCTTACCTGGAGGGAGGCGCGGTTGTCCACTTTGCGCGAGCTTTAGGCTTTAGCATTTGGGCCTCGCTCGTGCTCGATTCGAGGCCCCATCAATTTTCGAAGGCAGCTGTAGAGCATGCCAAAGATGACGCGAAAGCCTGCCTCGAACCCTACGTTCAACAGACAAAAAAACATCCCCAGACCCGATTCCCACCAAAAATGCCAGGAGAAGAGGAAGCGAGCAGAGCAGCTCGAGGCCCACCATGTTACATCTTACGAGGTCGTTGATGGGGTAACGAGTTCGCATCTGCCGTTCATGGTCTTGTGTCTCTAAGAATACAGCCTTAGGGTTGCAGCAAGCCACGCCGCAATCCAAGCTTGGGGCCCGTCTCACGTCGTGCCTTGCTTAGAACACGCAGCGGATAGCCTTTTGGGATCGTCTGCGAGTGTGTGCCTGGATCCTCATAAAGAAACTCCTGCACAACATGACAACTCGAGCCCTAAACCACGGCTCGGCACCTTGTTAGAGTTGCACCGTGCCCGAAATCTTTCGGTCAGGGCGTAGTCTCTCTAACGGTATTTGTATCGCTATCTAGGAATCTAGATCTGTATCTGTATCTATATCTCTACCTGCATTCGTATCTGTATCTGTAGCTGTACCTATATCTATATCTACGTCTTCTTCAGCATCTGCACCTGCACATGTATCCGTATCTACATGTATAGCTATATCACGGCTTAAATATACAACTATCATGAGCTGACCCATCTATCTGTCTGTCTATCAATCTCTATATACAACTGTGGTTCTTGCAGCCTTCATCCCACCTCCCTCCAAGCCCGAGCCTTTCGATGCCTGAAACTTCCTTTCTCTTCCTTTGCACCTTTGCGCGAGGTGGAGGCTGAGGAAAAGAGGAAAGCCGCGGAAGAGGCCGAAAGACGACGCATAGAAGCTTTGCGCCCATCCAGAATTTACGAGTCAGGGCTTTGTGGGGGTCATATAGACGTCAGTTGGCACGTCAGGAGCTCAGTCTTGATCTTTAAAGGGTGTCCAGGACAGTTGTTGTGGGGATTCTGAGGATTACTAGATGTTTCAAGCGTGCAAGGGAATGCTGTTCCGTTCGTGTCAGCTCCGCTTCAACATTCAGAGCCTGGAACACGTATTCAACATTCAGAACCTTGAGCACATAATATCCGACAAGTTCGCCCGCTCGCCCACCCACTCGCATAAAAACGAGCCTTAAAGTCATCCTCAATCGGCTTCCATCTGCCGCAAGCTTCAACGCCACATCCAATGCACGGTTGACGTTTTCAGTAGCACTGCCATTTCTGCTCGTCCTGAATTACTGGAGAGCCCTGAGTCAGCGCCCACATCAAGTGATTGTCGAATCCTCGCGCAGGAGGCCAAGAGGAAAGCCGAGGCGGCAGCTGCAGAAGCCGAGGCAAAAGCGGCAGAGCGCAAGCGCGCAGGGAGGCTCAGACGGTTACGTTTGGAATCAAGAGGTCATGTTCCGTGGTGAGAGTCTGGGCCAATGAAGGTTGAGGATGCTGGATGAGGGTAGAAAAAAGGGTTTTGAGCAGATCGCAGCTTCAGAAAAGACGCGGTAGCAGATATCACCAGAAACGAAGAGCTTGCTAGATGATCTTCCTAGGGGGTCCGTTGTTCAATGCAGAACAGGGACCACGGAAACCGCCTTCCAGGTTCCAGGGTCTTTGGACCAAGGAGGCCAATTACTCCAGGAGATGCAATTTGCTTTAGATTTCAGGTGACATGTCCTGTGTGAAGTATGAACATGACAAGAAAGCAGCATGTGCAACTAGAAACCCGGACACACTCTCCCCTATCTTGAAGCAGCCCCCTCCGGTATAAGCTTTCTGGCCCTTTCTCTGCACCCTGTATGTTCTGAAGACAGCGTACGAGTAGCAAGTGTCAACTCCATCGGATTCAAGGAAACGCGAGAAATACAGTTGTTCATCATGCTTCGTGGTCGACCGGTTGCAAGTTTCAGCAGCTACTGTAGGATTCTCTCGAAGATTGCGATACTTTCCCGAAGTCACAATGGCTAAGCTCCGACTTTACCAACCGGGGGCTTGGTAACCATTCGAAGCTATTGAGGACTTGTCTGATTCATCTTGGAGCTGGTAGAATATGGGTATCAGGATCCAGGCCCGAACGCCCAAGCCAGAACTTGCTGACGAGCCGAGACAGAGAGCGTCAACAAGCAGAACTTCCAGCCCTTGTCATCAGCCGACCCGAAACGTTTTCAGACAGAGCCCAGGCCCTAGAAGAGCAGCACGAGTCACTGCCGGGGGCCTCTGCCCGGGGGGTCTTTGATGATGTTTTGGGACTCCTGGGACTTCGTTCGGGCTTCGAGGACGGGCAGGCGTTCGGGGCTTCAGGTTCTGGCATTCCTCGCCCACGCACTCGCGCATGTGCGTGTGTACTGGAATTTCCTTCAACCCAATACAGTCCTTGGCTTCAGCATAAGCGGAGTACCTCATTTCTATCTTTTTTTTTTACGGCGCATCTTTCTGCCGTTCTTGGCTTGCGCTGATTTCGAGTTTGGATGTCAGCGTAGGTTTTGTGCCAAGCATGAATGCATTTGCAGTTCAGCCTCTTTCGCGCGCGCGTGTGTGTCGTGCGGTTTGGAATCTACTAGACTAAACTCGCCTGGGCCGTCATTCTGGCTCTGTCAGCTGTAAGAAAGTGAGGAAGATTGCCCAACCTAGCTCAGCTGGCCTCACATGGGACAGCAAGGCAGCGTCAGCGAACCGGCCCCATCCGTTGCGGATGTGTGTGGTGCGCTGGAAGCCGGCGAGCAAATGAACAAGTCCGGAAGCTTGGATTCGGAGCAGCTCAAGATTCCGGACAAGTTCCAGCGACTGGCGCTACTCGGTCATCTGGAGGTGGATGCCGAAATCGCTCGTGGTGTTTCATTGAAAGAGTCCCTGCGGCGGGGTGGGCAGCTATATCTGACCTGCCCGGCGAAGTTGGATGAAAGGTCTCGTGCAGCACTATGGAATCGGTCCCGGCCCGTGGAGGGTTTCGACCTCTTCCTTTCACACACGTGGATGACCGCAGGCAAGTGGAAGCTCTTGTCGCTCCTGCTGCAGTTTGGCTCGCACAAGGTACTCTTCGTCTGGGTGCTCGGGGTAGGTGCTACAGCCGTGCTCACTGTACTTAGAGTTCTGCCATCTCCCTGGACGCTCCACGTTCACCTTCTAGACTGCCACCTTTCCAGCGCTGTTGGTCCGTGGATTCTTCTTGCCAGTCTTCTTACAACTGTCTTCGGGCTGCTTGCTGCTCCCTACTTTCCGAGCATACGTCGTCGGTCGGATGTTTGCTTCGTGGATGTGGCCAGCATACACCAGGCAGATACGGATCTCATGGAGAGGGGTATATACGGCATAGGTGGGTTCATCAGCATATCCTCGGAGCTGCGAGTGCTATGGTCAGCTCCCTACTTGTCAAGCTCCTGGGCGCAGTTAGACAATGGGTGTTGCTGTTCGTTTTGAGAACTTTCCCCTCCAAACTACTGAACATGAGCCCAGAATGTTCCATCCGAGGATTGTGGTGTGTTTTTGAACTGGCAGCATTTCGGACGGCCAACCCCAGCGGCAAGATTACTCTGTCTCCGCTCTTCGTGGAGATGATCGTCGTGATGATTTTGCTTATGCAGTATTTCCATAGCAGCTTCCTGTGGGCCCACTGGGCTTGGCGTGGTGACGACGAGTACCGGCACCTGTCGCACATGATAGGCGTTTTGCCATGCTTCTTCATGATGCACATGCTGCGCAAAGCCCACCTGCTCAAGCATGAGCTGTTCTCCAAGTTGGAGTCTCCACTGCCCGTAGCCATAGTCTAGCTCGTTTCTGATTTATGATTCGAATTCCGGTCAGACACCCGATGTGCTGAAGCTCCAGGAAAACTTCGACATCAGCGAAGCGGAATGCAGCTCTGATTTCGACAAGAGCTTTATCCGCGCCGCAATTGTCCGGTGGTACGGCAGCGAGGAAGCGTTTACCGAGTTCGTGCGGGGCCCACTGCGTGAGGACCGATGTCGTAGTGGTCGGGAAGCTGTAGGGCCATGTCAGGTCCGTGTTCGGTCACCCATGCACTTCAGTACATGAAAGAGCTCCCAGAATGTGTTTAAACTTGAGGGTCGATGGGATTTACAACGTAGACATAGCAGCTTTCTTACCCAAGTTTACATCCCTACCGACACTGGCAGCGGACATCCCTAAGACCCCAAAGACCTAAACCCTGACACCGCAAACCCACACAACCTCTACCACGGCCTCAAAACCCCAAATCGCTCAGCCCACAATCGAGAGGATCTCCTGAACAAGACTCAATGCTGTACATTCCTGGACTACGAGCTGCTACTGCTGACGCCTGCAGCTGCCTCCGGGCTGTGCCTTGATATCATAAATGTACGGGCTTAGGGCTACGCTTGAGGGTATATGGCAGGAGGCTTGTATCTCTTGTGACAGTCTTTCTTGTACAAACATATTCCAGGCACCGCCAAAGCTTCGAGCCGTAACGGTTTGAAGCTAAGTCAAAGGTCCAGGTGATGCGATTTGGAATGCGGGCTTGCTGTTTGCGTTTCTGGTGTATTGGGCTTGGGGCTTTGGTCAAGGTTTCGAAAATTAGTGGTCGCGGTTCGGCAGATGATCGCCATGGCCCAGGGCCTACAGGTTTCAGATTCAGGATTGCTAGCCCACCATACAAGCCTACGTCTCTCCACCCTCCCGCAAAAACCCGCGAGACTCAATGCGAGTGACCCCTGAAGTGTCACTCCTGACCACAAGGACAGGCCTTTGTGCTGCCGCGCGGGCAGGTCCACCGGTGCAGACCCTTGCAGCCGTGGCGCCGCCTGCTCGGCTAGGGGTTCAGGGTGTGGGAAGTCCAAGCCTGACGTAATTCCAGGGTATGGCTGGATGCAGGTATGTGTCAACCGATGCATGCATGCATGCACGCAGGCACGGACGGAGGGATGGATGGATGTGAGGATGTGTGTGTATCACACACACACATATATATGTATGTATGTATGTATGTATGTATGTATGTATGTATGTATGTATGTATATATGTATGTATATATATATATATATGTATGTATGTATGTATGTATGTATGTATATATACACACATATACAACATTTATATTCGTATGGTATACTATGCATATATATATATATATATATATATATATATATATACACGTACATACATACATACATATACATATAGATAGATAGATACCCAATGCTTGAGTTGCTCAGGGTTTAAACCCACATCCGCAGGGTGTCTGTGCGTGTGCGGTCTAGTCAAGTCCTCATCAGCAGGAAGTTGGATCTCTGTATGTGCATGTGTCTGCAGTGAAGTTCCAACCAACCCGTTCTTTCGCCCATGATGTTGAAGTCAGTCAGACATGGGGGCTGTCGTGTTTGTCAGCAGTCTGCGTGTTTCATTTCATGCTTGCCTCACCTCATGTATTGAAAACCGACAACGCAACTTGGAGCAACCCTGTCTCGCACCCAGGATCGGCAGCACCCTAGGTCTCAGCATCGTTTGGGTAAGGTTCTGCCTTCAACTGCGCCTCATCTGCAAGTGCAGCTGTTTGGGTTTCGGAGCTTAGCGGCTATGAGTCACAAGATGTGCTGTGAGTCCCCATAACAGAACCGAACTCAGAATGGAACCGCAGAGGAACATGTCGCGAATGACTGGCAGTCGCTCGCTTTCGCTGTTGGGGGTTCTGGGTTCAAGTTTTGGGGGCACGCCCTCCTTGTATTCTTCTGTTCGTGTTGATTCTCGCTCGATTTGCCGCCTGAGTCCTTGTTTGGTGCGCCAGCAAGTTATGTTCGAAGTTTGAATTACCTTGACCTGCAGCCACATTCCCGAAGCCTGTAGACTTGCAGACTTTGCAGGGGCCTTTTCCTTTGCGACCGCTTCGCGAGACCCCGCTGGCACGGCATCGTCGATTATTTCCAGACGATCCTCGCCTTGAGTTTGAGTCTGCAGTCCCATCAGCATCACCCGCGGTTTAAACGAGGCATTGCCTTTTTCACCATCGCTAGTCATTCTCATCGTGATCGTCATCATCAGCACAGTCCCCACGCATCAGGGAACCCAACAAAATAAGCTTGAGAAGCAGGCTTGCACTGTGCATCTAAATTTGAAGCAGTATCAGCCCAGAAGGCCTTCAGCGACATGAGAGGAAAGAGCACCCTGCTCAGGCTCCTACTGTTTTTGGTGTTTGCTGCCGTTTTCTTCACGGGCTCGGCACTGTCCATCGCTGCACACACGCCCCCCCGGCAATTTCAGCTACAGGGCTTTATGTAGGAATTCCAGCAACGTGCACTCAGGGTCTGCGGGGCTTTGGGAGTTTATGGGTTCGCAGGAGATATGATGCAGTGTATGTTGCGCTGCTCCGGAACCATCACCCCTCGTTGTTATGGTCGCAGGTAGTGGAAGAAGCCCAAAATGTAGAGTGCAACAACCTGCAATTTGGCTTTGTGGTTTTTAAGGCGCATGGCAGCTAGACCTTAACATCCACGCCTCAATATAAACGCAATGTCGCAGTTTGCGTCGTTGAGTCCTGCTCTGATTCTATTATGTCTTCCTCTGTGAGATGTGTGTAGGTTGACTGCCGTTAATGGACAGGCCGTCTGATAACGGACAGGCAAGGTACCAACCCCCACAGTTTCTCCAGGTTTTCAGGATGGGGGTCCCCAGTCCGCGTTGTATGACTGAGTATGACACCGCCAAGTGGGGCACGTTGCGCACCCCCATTCAACAAGGCGACCTCACCCGCTTTTTCCAGGAAGCAGCTCTGTAAACAATGATCAATAGTGATAGTGTTCGCATGTGCGAAGGGCTGACGGCAGCCGCAAGCTGCCATGCTTCCAGTAACCAGTACGATGTAACTGATGTGACTGCTATTCCTGCCAGAGAGGCAGAGGGCCGTGCAGCTCAGCTCGCACATCACAAGTGGCAACTGTCACACAGTTTCGGTGTAAGACAAGCGTATTCCCTGTAAAGGGTGGGTCGGCATCCTGAGCTCATGGTGCTCAAAGTGATACCTCCCTCACCTATTGCTCTTCCAGGGGCTGCCGGCCATGTACATTTTTTCCCTCTGAATCTCCTACATATTTAAGGATAACACAGGTGACCGAAATCGGTGATCATTTTCCCACCGAAAAGACGAGCTTTCGGAGGCCCATATACAGGCCAAATAAAGCTGAGTATTGCAGGAATTACATGCTACTTCTGGGATACTGGGTTCGGGCTTTTCACATAAGGGCCGCCCTCCATATAAAATAGGGCCTTACATTGATGACGCGCCACCCGTCTCATAATCAGGCGTTTGGATAGGGTTGTTAGACTACCATGTCATTCCATAAGAAGCCCCAGGTGGCGCCACCCGTCCCATATATTGCATGGGCGCTTAAAAGATGGACCCTCCGCGCATCTGGATCGGACATCCCCGACATCCGCTAAACTCGCCCCCAAGCCCAAACCGCGTTGCGAGTTCGTAAACTTGTAAATCGAATTCAACCCTCAACCCTGCTCCAAAAACGCTCCGAAGACAGTCCCGACCATGCAGCGCCAGGTCGAGCCTTGAAGCTTCTGTCGCCTTTCTGTGCTTCTCCGCTTCTCCAGATTGTCGGGGTGTGTAGGCCTAGTTCAGGGCGCAGGCTTACAGCACATGGAGCTGTACGGTTTTGGCGGTTTGGGGGGTCAAAGCGCCGCAAGGACAGAAGTAGGCATCTTATGACCAAGAACGACAACTGTGAACGGAATAGCTGTACCATGCCTTTTTCGGTTGCACGAGCTTCCCGGTGCAACTTGTGATTGTCGCAGGGGACAGCTTGAAGTTTTCCGAGCTTGGCATGGGAAAAACGAACACGGTGTTTGCTGGACTGCTTAAACCCAAACCCCCTAGTGAAAAGATGTTGCAGAAATGGGGCGTCCCTCTCGATCAGCGGCTGTTGCCCCAAACCCTTGCTCTAAACTGTCAACAAGAATGTCCTGCGGTCCCTGAGTTGCCACCTCGTCAGCTAGGCAGATGACAAATAAACCGTGGATAGGCCAAGCGAAGGGCATGGTGTGCATGAAATTCCTCGAGCTTCCGAGACAGCTAGTAGGGTGACCTGAAGACCCTTGTATCGTACCATCCAGGCCTGAAAGATGGCCCAAAGGTCTTGTAAAAGCCTCAAGTCTTCACCGGTCTCGGTTCTGCATGAAGCGCTGCAGACTGCCTGCTTGGAGTGAGCCGAGAGCACGTACCAAACCCGTCGAAATCGTCGTGGTGGCAGAGGCTTTGGTCTTCTGTGCTGCAGTGTCTCCGAGAGGCTGACGTCAATGAGCTGGCGACTGTGGAGTCAGTAGGCACTGTTGAGTTGGCGGCATAGGGCTGCTTTGCAGCAAGTTGTTCATGTAGTAGGTTTCAGGATATTAGTGGAAGTCTCAGTCCACCATTTCATGGATCTGCTGGGAGAGCTTGTACAGTTTTCTGCTCTGCACAGTGCAGAAGTCTGCAGAGGGCTGCCGGGGAGGCACCCTGCAGAGATATTCAGAGCAGGATTGTGGTCGCCCTCCTGGCTCAACTCTTGTGGAGGCCTCCTGTAAAGCCAGAGGCGCTTGTACAGAGCTCGCCTGCCACGCAATGGCAACTGCATGGCGAAGCGAAGCGGTCATGCCTTGGAGTCTTGCGAGCCGGTCCGCGAAAGAGAGGCTCAACTCTAGGACTCTAGGGCTTGTGGCTGTTGTCTGCTTGGTATTTGGGATCTTTGCCTCAGCTATACCTTCTCTATCCACCGTAGCCAGCATTGCATGGGACAGCAAGGCAGCGTCAGCGAACCGGCCCCATCCGTTGCGGATGTGTGTGGTGCGCTGGAAGCCGGCGAGCAAATGAGCAGTTCCGAAAGCTTGGATTCCGAGCAGCCCAAGATTCCGGACAAGTTCCAGCGACTGGCGCTACTCGGCCATTTGGAGGTGGACGCCGAAATCGCGCGTGGCATTTCCTTGCGAGAATCCCTTCGGCAGGGTGGGCGGCTGTGGCTGACCTGTCCGGCGAAGTTGGATGAGAAGTCCCGTGCAGCTCTGTGGAATCGGTCCCGGCCAGTAAAACAGTTCGATATCTTCCTCTCTCATGCATGGAGGACGGCGGGCAGGTGGAAACTCTTGTCACTCTTGCTGCAGTCTGGCTCGCACAAGGTACTCTTTGTCTGGGTACTCGGGGTGGGCGCTGCAGCCGCGCTCAGTCTGCTTGGAGTCCTCCCTTCCCCCTGGACGTTCCAGACGGGTGTAGCGGGCCTCGATGTCTCAATCCGTTTCGGTCCATGGATTCTACTCGCAAGCTTTCTGGCCACCTTCCTGGGTCTCCCTGCAGCACCTTATTTCCCGAGCACACGCCGTGAGTCCGACGTTTGCTTCGTGGATGTGGCCAGCATACACCAGGCAGATACGGATCTCATGGAGAGGGGTATATACGGCATAGGTGGGTTCATCAGCATATCCTCGGAGCTGCGAGTGCTATGGTCAGCTCCCTACTTGTCAAGCTCCTAGGCGCAGTCAGACAATGGGTGTTGCTGTTCTTTTTCAAAACTTTCCATTCCTAACTACTGAACATGAGCCGAGAATTTTCCATCCGAGGATTGTGGTGTGTTTTTGAACTGGCAGCATTTCGGACGGCCAACCCCAGCGGCAAGATTACTCTGTCTCCGCTCTTCGTGGAGATGATCGTCGTGATGATTTTGCTTATGCAGTATTCCTTTTTGGGAATCTGGTGGGGTCTTAGGACCTTGCGCGCAGAGGTGTGCTTCAATGTGTCTCATGCTCTAGGAGTCCTGCCCTGCTTCGTCGTGCTGCATGTGCTGCGCAAAGTCCATGTGGTCAAGCACACGCTCTTTTCGAAGCTGGAATCTTGACTTCGGCTATTCGTACTGCCTTATCCTTGTGCTCGCTTTTGTTGCGCGTAATACGTGGCGATCATCTGAGCTTCAGGAAAGCTTCGACATCAGTGAAGCGCAGTGCAGCAGCGATTTCGACAAGAACTTCATCCGCACTGCAATCGTCCAGTGGTATGGCAGCGAGGGCGCTTTCACCGACTTTGTCCGTGGCCCACTGAGAGAGGACATATGGGCAACTGCAATTTTGAGTGCAATCCTCTAATCCCCAATGCAATCTCCAAATCCCTGCGGCCTTGAACTCAAGCCGGTCTTCAATGTCGTTGGGCTTCTGTTGGGACCATGTCAGGAATATCTTGAGAATCCTTCAGGCCGATAGGCCCAACGAAATCCCTAACCTCGAGGGTGATAGCCCGCCTGGTTTGACTCGTTTTGGCATCAAGATAGGTGCCTCAACCTAGTATTAATTTTGCAACAACCCCAACCTGAGCCTTCCCCCAGACAGATGTTGCTTTTCTGAGAAAGTGCAGAGAACTTGGAACATCTTGGGCTCTTCGGCCCGAAGCTTTTTCAACATCAAAGGGCGGAAGTGGAGGAGTCCGAAGCATGCCTGAACTCCCCCCATGTAGCGTTGGATATCTCACCTATGACATGTAAAACCTCACGGCGGCCAGGAATTGGGCGCCAGTGCACATTGCTGCACCTTCCTCGACTATGAGCTGCTTCTACTGTCGCCTATGGCTGCCTCCGTCTTGCTGCATGCTGGAGATTGGTGTTCCACTTGTGTTGGGGCTCTGTGTGGCTTGCTGTGTCTGGAGACTGACCCTCCCTAGACTGAGGAGCTGCAATAGGGTCCACACTTACCGACTGCTCACTCGCACTGCCTCATCCCGCATGCCCACACTCCCAGAAAGCCACAGACGTCACACCTGTGCATGCTCACCGCCTCAATCTACTCTTGGGGTTTCTTGGTCTTAGTTTGGATTCTTTTGTGGATTTGAGGTTTACGAAGAAGGTGAGAGCAGGCTGTGATGTGCACTTTGCCAGACCGTGAACCACACTACAGTAGCAATACACACAGTGAAATCTGAGGTTAATGCCCAAATGGGACGGAAATTCTGCTGGTATGGATACTCCTCCATCGGTTTAGGTAGTTTAGGTGTTTGGCGCAGCTTCGAGCACCCAGGAGAAAGGACGGCACATGTAGGAAGCCAGATACGTGATACAGTTGCGCAGCCCGAAGCGTGCAAGTTGCCTATTCATAGCTTCGGGGGTCAGCAAGCAGCCAGTTTCTTCAAGATTCATCTGCCAAGGAAACAGCAACAGCTGCAAGTCTGAAGTCAGTTTTATGCGACTCTTGCAACTGTGAATCTCGCGGATGTGTGCTTCACAAGCCAGAACAGACACGTGAACAGCCGATGCTTTACGGCTCGATTGTACATTCTCGAAAGGCGGCGAGTAAGGGGTGAGACAGTTCTTGGGAGGTCAGGCCCAGGATCCCTCGGACAGCAACCAGGTTTTAACTACTTGCAGTAGCTAGCAGCTTTTTTTGATATCGACCGTCCGTTCTTTGCAACGACTCGTGTAGCGCGAATCCTAGCCCGTCAGTCCGACTCAGGACAGTGATCTGCGGGGCTTGGCTGGGGGGCCTCCCCCATCATGCCATTGCTGTTCAGGTGCTGCTCATGCCGCAAGAAGGTAGGTTCGAAGACAGGCTGGGTTTAGGGTCGAAAAGTCAAGATCCCTGATCCCCTGTCGTGACGCCAACGAGCAGTGCAAATGCAACACGGTTTGGGGAGTCCTTCAGTTGCCCTTGTCATGACCATTACAGTTTGATCGTCGCCATCGTCGCATGTTCTCGTTCTCGTTGCCGCCTTAAAATCGTCGCCGTCGTCGCCAGCATAATCGTTGTGGTTGTGGAAAGTGGTTGACAGTGGTTGTGGCAGTGGCAGTAGTCGTGCTTGCGGATGACGTTGCGGGCGCAGCTGTGGTTGCGGTCGTAGTCGTCGTCGTGGTGGTCCTAAATGTGGTTGCGGTTGTGGTTGTGGTGGTGGTGGTGGTGGTGGTGGTGGTGGTGGTGGTTGTGGTGCTGCTGTTGCTGTTGGTGTCGTTGTTGTTGTTGTTGCTGCTGCGGTGACTATGGTCCTTTATGCTTTATTCTTGCATCCAGCATGTCCGCCGGAATCTCATTGTCGTCACAGGCATCGGTACAAGTCCCGTTGTCGTTGTCTATGAGTCTATTACCTAGTTTGCAGTTACGATGGGGCGACCCGAGCCTCGCTCTACGGTGCACGCCATGCTGGTGAACAGTCCGAACCAGCATCTGGGTGTGGCCTCGCGACGCGAACATCTTTACCGTACTGACGTCTCAGGATAGGATTAGACAAATCATCATTGGCACCAGTTGAACTGCTTATGTTCAGTTGCCGCAAATACCACTCCGAGTATGTAGCCATCCGCACACCTGTCTCAGCCCAGGGTTTCTTCAATCAGCACGGGCCTTGTCTGGGCGCGTCTGAGCATCAAACTGTGCCCTGGCCTGAAAGTTATCATCTGACTTCTAAACCGCAAATCCATCCAAACCCTTGAGACTTGTGAAGATTGGACCCTGAGACTAGCCCAAGGAGCCTTTGCCTCTGCGACCGCTTCGCACAGCCCCGTTGGGATGATGCCCGGGACTACCTGCAGACGCTGCTTGGGCAGGGGGTTTAGCCAAGGGTTTAGCTTTGGGTTTGGGCTTTCAGGCCGTTTCAGGCTTTAAGCTTTAAGGTTTTCGGACTGTCGGATGTCAAGACACGCGAAGACTCTGCTTGGGGTGACATGCTGGGGCTTCCTGATTCTTGACTGCAGGCAGACAGCGTGCACGCCGGTGAATGATCTTAACCGGCGCCTGCAGACTCCGAGCGACAGCACCAAAACCCTAAACCGCATGGGGCCGTGTGGGTGTTTGGACTGGTGCTTTCGGAAGCCGCATCAACGAAAGAGCCCGAACCCAGTCGAACCCCATGCTAGGAAACTCCAAGACGGCCTCGACCAAACCTTGAGGGGCCAGAGGTGCTTTTCTGATCCATAAAGCGCTCCAGGCTTGAAGGTCCAGCATGTCGATGCGGCCGCTTCATGTGTTTTTTGCACGATCCGTTGTAGCCTGATCACCGAAATTGGCTTCAGTCATCTGAGATCCCTGATCTTGCGTTTCTCGTTGTCTTTTCTCGAGAAAGGTTTGATGTGGAGTCTCAGCCCAACTGTAGATCTGGAACGCTGTCCATTGCAATCCTGCAGCACAGGCCCAAAGCTCGTTGAACTCAACCCCACGGCAGCAAGCAATAGACACCCAGGCTTAAAGTTCAAGCCTAGGTCCTTGGCTCAACCTAAACTTGTGCCTAGGCTACTGGTCTTTCTTATCTTTGCGCTATTTGTCCTCGCTGCCACGGTGCTGTCCGCCACCGCGAAATCGCCACTTCCCGGCAAGTTTCGGGCGGAGCTGGAAGGACAGGGATTGGGCTGCAGGACTCAGCTGTAAGCAATGAAACGACCTTGGCAGCCCTTCAGACCTTCTTACCAGCGCGCGGCCAGTTTTTGAGGGGCAGTTCCAGTCTGTCCCGAGTGACTCTAAATTCGGCTATTGCACGGAAACGTATCAGCTTTCCATAGAGGCGATGCTGTGGGCCTCCCGAAGTGGTTTGCGCTGTGTCAAAGTATGGTCAAAGTCACACTCTGTGATTTGAACTCAAGCTTGCCATGTCTCTCTGCAGATATGGCAACGCAGCATATGGCCTTATGTCGAGAAAGTATTTAGTTTATGGCTTGGAGCATTGCCCGATAGTTTTTTCCCACCCTCATTTACGAGTAGCTCCCATAATTCCCAGATGCAATTTTTCCCGGCCTCAGGCCGTGAGACACACATGGGCCGGATCTTAGCAGAGCGCCTCCGAAAACCGAAACAACTCCCCAGGGGCCGAACCCCGCCGCAAGTCCCGAATCCTCAGACACTAAAGCCCCAAAGCAAAGATCCCAGACCGTTGGAATGTCCCAGCTGTGGGAGTACCTTAGCCTGGAATAACCTACCTCTTTAAGGACCTATTATATAAGGAAGCCATAATAAGGAGTATCAAAAAGGTACGTAGGTTGTTCAGGGTTAAGGTATTAGAGCCCAGGTACAGTCTCAAGGCCTCCCTGGCCTTCCTTCTCTTCGGCCTCCTCAGCAGCTGCTTCTCCTCGAGGCTGGCGAGGATGAGCTGGCGGCTCTGAGCGAGGATCTTGGCCTCGGGGTCTCAGCGTTTCAGGGGCGGGGTTTAGGATTTTCGGTCTTAGGCCTTTTCCGGTCAGAACTTCGCAGCCCGATGCAAAAGGGTCTTTAGGCGTAGGGAGGAGGTTGAGGATGGAGAAAGGGGGCTTGTCTGTCAGTCTATAGCTAATCTCACTGGTTGAATGTTAAATGGCGAAGGACTGTTCAAGGGCTTTGGGATTGACAGTTTCGGGCTCCGGGCCTTGATCTTCAGCCGGTATGTATAGACTCCAAGATCGTACAGAACTGCTTGAGTGCAGCACACTTGAACGGAACTGTACAGTGCGCAGCGGTCATCTCACTGAGTGGCGCTGCAGCTCAGTTCACTTTATTTAAGAGTCCCAGTTCGGCATATGACCAATCAGCTTGTGCTTATGCCAGTGCCGGACCAGAGGAAACCGCATAGTTATTTTGGAAAGCTGCCCCATGCGCAGCAGGACCCAAGAATTCAAGCATGAGTCCGTCTAACTGGAGCTTGATCGTGGCTGGCTAAGTCCATGCTGCAGCGCTCCAATTTTGAGCCGCGGCCCACACTTAACACTGGGGCTGCGGGCTTCGACACGATTTGGCAGGGAGACGAAAACACTCGGTTCTAATCACGCCTGAAACAGACTAATTACTGTAAGAACCTGAAGGTTGGATGTTTTGGTGCTTGCAGGGTAACGTGAAATAAAGTCGCCCGCAGCTTCCCAGTTGCGAGAGCACAAATCGTCATTGCCTTACAAGTATACTGTTCCGGGCGAGTGGGTTTCACTACTTTTCACAGTCTGGTCCTTAGAAGTTCTCGTGTTGTACACGGCCGCAAGAGCCCTAAGCCATGAACCCTACACTCTTCCCCAAGCCCGCGCCCCGAAAACCCTGCAGACGAATCCTGCGTTCAGCCATTGCTTGCTCGAGCTAATCTAGTGAATGGAAGCAGCCCGACGGCAATGAGCCATGGGACAGTGTGCGAGCAATCTGCAAAGTGCCCTTGATGAAGTACCGAAACCTCAAAGCCGCAGTCCAGCTTCCGCGTGGTCGAAGGATGTGCGGTCTGAGGGAGTGGGCCCAGGAGACGAGCGGCGGGAAGGGGACCAAAAGAGAATCCCAGACAAGTTCCAGCGCCTGGAAATGCTTGGGCATCTGGAGGTGGACAGAGAAATCGCTCGAGGCCTCTCGTTGCGAGAGTCTCTAAGGCAGGGTGGGCGGCTGTGGCTGACTGCTCCTGCTGATTTGAGCGACAAGTCCCGCGCAGAACTTTGGAGCCGATCACGGCCGGTGCAACATTTCGATGTATTCATTTCTCACACCTGGATGACCCACGGGAAGTGGAAGCTCCTGTCGTTGTTGTTTCATTCAGGCTCGCAGAAGGTACTTGTGATCTGGTTCACTACAGTGATTGCAGTGTCATCGCTCACCATTCTTAGAATTCTGCCTACGCCTTGGCTGATCGAGGCCCACGCAATGGAATTCAAGGCCATGTGTCCCGTAGGACCATGGATAGAACTAGCAAGTTTTGTTGCCACCCTCGCCGGCTTCATAGCATCGCCGTACCTCCCCAGTGTGCAGCGGCCGCGTGACACCTGCTTTCTGGATGTTGCTAGCATCCATCAGACGGAGCCTTGGTCACAATTGAGGGTCGCTACCGCTACGGCTTAGGGTCACGGTGTTGGTTTTCATGCTTCTTTTGAACGGCACTCGAAGTAGGTTTCCGAGGATGGTGACGAATTTTGAAAACAGGCAAGCATCCAGGCAACACTCGCTTCCTCAGCTCAGCCAATCTCACCCGCACAGCATAGCTAACCCTAGACAAGGCATTCAGGAAACATGTGTTGACTAGCGGTCGCACAAAGCGCGATGCAACAACAAGAAAAAGTATGTGTAATTGAGTAGAGGAATATCTCCTGATGAATGTGTAGGTGCTGTCCCCTCAAACAGAGCACAGGGATAGGCTGGCTTATAGTATTATGCAGCCGTGCTGTGTTGTTCGCTGGTGCCACAGTCCTGTCACAACAACTTGAACAAGCCAATGTCTTCGGTAAACCTCTACAAACTCGTCAAGAGAACAGACCTGAAGACAGCTGCAGCAACAATAAAGCAAACACCTCACAAGAACTCACCATTCCTCAGATCCACAAAACCAAGGACGATTTCATTTCAGTTTCAAGAACTGCTGTTGGCTGTTGATTCTGTTCCTTCCATATTTGGACTTCTTTGCTTGCGTGAAGTCCGAAGAAGGAGTGTTTACAGTTGCGATGTTGATTGAACTTGGGGGCAGCAGAGTGAATGCCCTGCCCACGATACCGCATGACCCCGAAGTGCCCCGTGCCAACACCGCGGTGGTCGTAATACACTGCAATCATTGGTCCTTATCAGACAAACCAAGCTGCCAAGAAGCGGCACCCCACCTTTGGTGGCAAAAATTGGGCTTTTTCAGCAAGCAGCCAGAACCACAAACGGGTTTTGAACGATAGTCACTTTCACCTGAAGTGACCTGATGTATCCAGTCCGGCCTATTGACTACCTCTACGACCTGCAACAGTCCAGCCAATGGCCGGCAAATTGTCATTGTCAGTACGGTGAAACAGTTGCCAAGCTTGCAACCGTTGCCGTCATTCGAAGAAGCCCACAATGCTGCACCTTGCGGTTTGAGCTCTGTACTGGACGAAATCACCCATGCATTTGTCAAGCATGGCGTAACCGGGAGGTGCTTCCCAGACTCGGCACGAAGCCGCAGTTTGATGATGCTTTCTCAACTTCGCTTGTTTCAGGAAGTCGTCAATTCTCGCTCCTGTGTACGGAGTTGCCTAAGCTCACCTGTTCCCATGTGGCAGGGGGCTAAGATTCCTTCGCTCGCAGCTAGCAAGATCATCTGGATGCTCGATTCCCAAATCCAGCAGTTCGGGAAACTTCAAAGGGTGCCATGCAGTCGAAGGCGCGTCGCATCTATTGCATTGCATGTTCGAAATTCCGGAGCACATGTTCCCACGAACTGCTTCGAAGAGGTACGCGACGACTGATGTAGAAAAATTCCATCAGTTTCCGCGAAGTGGCTTCAGGATTTTCAACTCCCCCCTTTGTCCCACAAATCATTGGCACGAAAGCTCCCCCACTCGGTTGACTTTTTATTGTTCAGCGTGGGCTGGTGGAGGAAGCTACTTCATGGCCTGTAAAGCTTTCGACTGTTCCTGCTCCCACGATTTCGTCCTCGCTCGAACTGGTCGTGCCCTGCCCCGCTCCTGCAAATGCGCCTTGCAGAAAATCCTTAGCCCAAGGGGCTTCTGGATGCGTCGCGAGACTATCGTTGTACGTGGGCATCCCATTTAGGGATATCCGGCTTCATGTGAAGACGAACCTTGTGGTGTCGCTAAACTGTCAGACCTTCCCATCGTCCAGCGCCTACGGACAAGGTTACCGGCGGGACACAACCGATTGGACAGGTGGGGTACGGGTTTCGACACAACGTTCAAGCCTTGCCTCCTTGCGGCCTGCCGGGTTCGAGGCCCAAAACCCCCCGAAACCTACAACTTCCTCAACGAAGCAATATTGTAGCAACATTCCCGAGCTCGGACAACCCAAAGGCACACAGCTGCAACGCTGGGAAACGTTGCAGCTTGCTGTGTGCAGTAAGAGAAGACAGTACCGAACTATCCAGTTTACAGGGTGAAGGTGTACCCCGATGTAGGCCGAAACCTGAGCCTGTGCAAGAGTGCTAGAACGTTGGGCAAGGATCAGCGTCTGATGGAACGGGGAGTCTACGGCATTGGTGGCTTCCTCCGGATCTCTCGGGAGCTTCGAGTACTGTGGTCGACGCCCTACTTATCGAAGCTTGGACGACACCTAACCTAAACATTTGGAGGGCAGTCCGTGCCGACAATAGTCTTCGTCTTGTTGTGGCTGCCATCCATCTTGGCATCATCTCGCTGAGGATAGTTGCTACTGTTGACGACGATTGGTGATGGTGACCCTTGTCGTTGATCATGATTTGATGGTGAGTATGTGCGAGGACGATTCTCGCTGGTAGTGCAGCAGGTGGTTGTCGAGGCTGGGTAGCTGATCTGGGTAAGAACGGCGATGAGAATAATATGATATAATATCATGGTGCGTGCAATCGCGACAGACGACGATGTTGACAGTTGTGGGGCTGTCGTCACGACTGTGATTCTCAGAACCCAGGCACCCAAACCTTAGTTCCACGAGTGGCTCCTGGTCTAAATCACGCGCACGTCGCGCTGGTACAGCCCGTAGAACTCTCTGAACAGCAGTTGCATGTTTGCGAGTTTGCATCGTTCCAGAAGCCTCGAAACCCACACACTTTCTGGAGTAATTCGGTGGATTGTAGAACATATGACTTCCGAGTCGGGGTTTCCAAAGGTTAGGGCCCAGGCTCATGACCAGGATGCCGTGCAAGAGATGGAAAGTGCTGAAGCCGTGTTTGCACTGGTGTATCGTGTATCGCTATGACGCAATCGCAATTTCAACAATGCAGTGAAGGAGACTATGGTGCGTCTTTGAGCTAGCCGCCTTCCGCACCGCCAACCCGGAAGGAAAGATAACACTGGCACCGCTTTTCGTGGAGACGATCCTGGCGGCGGTGATTTTGTGGGAGTATTTCTTCACATTGATCTATTGGAGCACGAGAGCTTCGCAAGTTGGCGAGGTTTACAACTCTGTGTCGTACCTCTTTGCCATGCTCCCCTGTTGCTTCGCCATGCACATGATTCGGAGGAGCCGTGCAGTCTGTGGAGCATTCCTGACATGTCGAGAATTTGGCGGGAGACCTTTGTGTTTGGTTTGTTCTTAGTTCATGAGCTGCTCTGCTCTGCTGTTTGCCGTGTTTACTTTGCTGTGAGTGTTTAGCCTTCTCTCGCTTCCCAAAACGCAAACAGGCTTTGGCGGTCCCGCCATGGTAGCACTCAGTAAGTTCGGAGATGATTGTTTGTGCCAAAATATGAAGGGAACGGCCAACCTGAGAACCAGACTT